AGTCATTCAGTAGTGTCCTACTCTTCATGATGCCATGGCAAATAGCACAACAGGCCCTACTATCCTTGAGTATCTCTCCAAGTCTGTTCAAGTTTATGTTCCTTGTTTCCACGACACTCTCTATTCATCTCACCTTCTGCCATCCTCTTCTCTTTTTGTCTTCAAATTTTCCCAACACCAGGGTCTTCTCCATGAATTCCATCTTCTCATCACATGGCCAAAGTATTCAATCTTCAGCTTCAGTATTTGAACTTCCAGTGAATGGCCTGAATTAATTTCTTTAAGTATTGATTGATTTGATCTTTTTGCTGCCCAAGGAACTCTAAAGGCTTCCTCAGCACCACAATTTGAAACAGTCAATTCTTTGGCACTTAGCTTTCTTTATATAGTCCAACCCTCACAGCCATACATTTCAACTGGAAATACATATAGCTTTGACTGTAACAACCTTTCTAGGCAGGGTGATATCTCAGCTGTTTAATATGCCATCCAGATTTGTGATAGCTTTTCTTACAAAGAGCAAATGACTTTTAATTTCATGGTTGTTGTCACCATCTACCAGCACCATGCCAGGAAATGGAATTGCTTCCATTTAAATTGTCTTAGGAAAATTTTGAAGATCACCTGGCAGGATACTGCCAGGTCCTTTCGCAAACTAAACTGCCAAGCATTCAACTCTACTGCAGAGTGCATAACTCTGAAAGCTGGCCACTTTGAGTGCAAAATGTACGCTTGCCTAAAGTACTATTTTATGGAAAACTCACACAGGGCAAGTGCTCCTGTGGTAGTTAGAAGCAATACAAGGGCACTTTCAAGATCCCTCTTAAGAACTTTGGAATGGATCATGTCACATGGGAGATACTGGCACCGGACGGCCCAGCATGGCATGCCCTCATCAGAGAAGGTGCTGTGCTCCCTGAGCAAAGCAGAATTGAAGTAGCTCCAAAGAAATGCAAGATGCACAGAACTAGAGAATTTAGCCCACGTGTTCACGTGGAGTATTTGTGCCTGACCTGTGGTAGAGCATTCTGAGCTCACATTGGTCTGATCAGCCACCGTCTAACGCATGGTAACTTGACTCTAACAGAGTGATGTCGTTTTGGTCCTTTTTGGGAACAAAGGACAACCACTAACCATCCAATCTTTTGGTCTTCACAACAACCCAGTGAAAGAGGGGCTACTTTAGAGATTGTACAACTAGGGAAACTGAGGTTGGGAGAGGTTCAGCGTCTTGTCCAGGGTCACATAGCTGGGAACTGTCTGAGGCAGAATCTGAACTCAGGTTTACCTGACTCCAAGTCCAGCACTCCAGCCATTAGGAAATAGCAGCCTGGAGTCTGGCTCAGAATAGAGACACAGGGGCCTTCACTCCTCAGGCTTATTCACTGCTGTCTTCCCCTTCTCGGTGTGACTCATCCCCCTCTCTCAGGGCACAGGAAAGTTTCTGGCCCAGCTGCTCCTATCTGCTCATTTCTCATTTCTCTTTATCCATAATTAGTTTCCACTGGGAAGTTCTTATTAATTAACAGTAATTGCTGATGGTAATTTGCTTTAGAGCTAAATGTTCTCTCCTTCTGGAACATCCCTTGGTTCCCTCTGCCAACAATGTTAATGTCATTGACATGATAAATGCAGCTCCCTGATGGGAAGACAGTGGGAAGAGGCAGATCCTCTCCAGGAATCAAGACCCTTTAACTAGGGCCCTGGCTTTACACAGCCTACTCATTCACACAATGATTGTGACTTCCAAGCCTGATGGATGAGCAGCTGAGAACAGCCTGGTGAGTGCCTTTCTATGTCTCAGTCTCAGACATATGGTGTATCTATTCAAAGGGAGAAAGCATTCTCTAGGACATGAAAGGGAGACAGAACCTGGTACAAATTTTCTGCAGTTTGGGGGCAGAGAAGTAATCCTAAAGGAGGACTCTAGAACAAGGCCTACGATTTTGCTGAGGATCCAAGAAAGATATTCCATTTTCTTTCCCACCTCAGAGCTCAGGTCAGGGCATCCTCCCTCCCTCTCTGCTCAGTTCTCCTTGGCGTCTCTGTCTCCCTTCCCTTCCTCCATATTGTCCTTGCCATATGGTAATCTAGGACTTGTTTTCTGCCTTTGCAACCTTTTGCTTGGAAAGCCAGAAGCCTATAAAACCATAGATTTGAAGTTGGAAAAGACCTCAGGGTGCATTTAGGCTAATGCCCTCATTGGGCAGAGGAGGGAACTGTGGCACAGAGACATGCTGTGAAGTGGCCATTGTCACCTCTGTATGGAATACCCTGTACACGGCATAGTAAGGGAAAGGAATAAGCCTTTGAAGTAAAATGAAGTATCTCCACAACACACCAGAAGACTCTTGCCTGGATATCTTTTGAGTTCTTATTTGTTGTAGATCCGGTAGTAGGTGACTGGTCAGGGAGCTCCCTAAATTAACTCCAACAGCATAGAGAAAAGGTACCCTTTGTCTGGGGTTTTAGTGGCATCTTCCTATTATCTTCTCCTGTAGGATATGTTCTGTAGCACATGAAATTGAACCAATAAATAAAATGAGGCCATTTCTCCAAGTATAATATCATTTATTAATAAGTCATGCGATTTATTAATAAAGGACTGGTCAATGACATGCTTCCATTTGTGCAAAAGACCCAGTGGGAAGGCAATTCATGATGTTTATACTTAAGTGTGTCTTCTTCTGATTGGTCTGATTGCACATCATTGCCACCTTCCCTGGCAATCTTGCTTGGTGGATATTTTAATGAAGAGATAGGTCAAGAGTTCCCAGTTCCTCCCCATCTTGGGGAAGAGAAAAGGCAGAGTGCTGGCCCTCAGATGTGGCCAATCACATCCCTCTCTGAGTCCTAAGGAAAGGAATGTTTGCTAGTTTATGAAACTCAGCTTGCCTCTAGCAAATTTGGCCAGAAGTTGGCTTATGTTTATAAACCATTTGAATCTGGCACTTACTGACTTAGTCCTCCTTTTCTAAACTAAGTCATTGCAAATCTCGATGGTGGGAAAAGCAAAGACAGAGAGATATATCCCCAGGAAAGACCTAGCTCTGACTAGCTTTTTTTTAAAGGGGAAGAAATAAATTAAGGGTCTCTGACCAGGTAAATATCTTGGAAGCTAGGAGTCATCACATTACTCTGGTCACCCACTTCAAAAACTACCTGCTGTGTTAGGAATGAAGTCTTAACAAAAAAGGAAGAAAAAAGATGCATCACAAATAGTTGGTTATTAATATAATAATGTAATACTGATTTTCCTCAGTTCTCTTGGGACAGCTACCCTTGGTGTTAGTCTATAAAAGAGAGCCAAAAGAGAATATTCTCCCACCCCCAATGCTTCCCATTGCTTTTTTTCTTGAAATGCTGTGAGAATAGGGCAGAGTTAAGTGGGGGACCTGGGTTCAGGGAGGTATTTCTACCTCCAGCAGCCATTCACCTTTATGCCTTGGGTCAAGGCATAAAGGTTCTACATGACTATAGTAAACAAAATAACCAAGTATCTCAGAGCTGGAAGTTGTACAGCATCAAGACTTCATCTCCCTTTCACTACTCCTGTCACTTAGTTAGATAGTAGAGGTACAATGGGAGTGGGGTTGGCCTTCTTGCAGCCCTGGGTACTTTCCATGATGAGGAAGAATCCAAACCTTGAAGGTAATACTCTTAGGGTGAAAGCAGGACTCCCTGGAATGGCCAGCATTGCCTATCTAACAGCTTCAAATTTGTGTTGCTTTGTGAAGATTCCAAATCAAGAGAGCCATTGTAAGTCCATGTGACTGTATGGGACCTGGGAGAAAGACGAGAATGAGTACAGAGCACAGAGAATAATGACAATTATTTCTGTGCTACTTTGAGTTCTTTATTCATCTTCTGTAGTTTCTATGATGAGAAGTAAAAACTGTCCTCTACCTGATATGTCTGGCTACCTTCGGTGTTCCTTGGGAGATGGAGGAGGGGGTGGAAGGACTGAGGAGGAGTCTTCTACCCACGATGTGCCTTCATACTGATTCAATAGAAAATATACTGTATTTGTAGCCTAAGGACTTAGTTTCAAATGCCAGCTTTGTTTCTTATTACTCGTGTCACCCTGAGAAAATTATTTACCTGGCATGGACTATAGTTTCCTCATCAATGAGCTTATGAAATGTAGTGACCAAGTCACAAGTTGTATTTTAGCCATATTTTGAAAATTCCCATGGAAATTCAGGATCATGGAAAAGTAATCTAAAAAGTCAATATTTATCTTAAATATAATAGCAATTAATAATAATTATGGTAGACACATAGAATTTACATAGCAACAATGAGTACCAGGCTTCTGGAAAAGGGATCTAAAAAAGCATACTTAATATGCTTTAAATTACAGATTTACCACTGAGTTTTATTGGATAGCTACTGCAACAATGCCCCATCCCCACAGAAGAATAATGAATTCAGGATGCAGAATGAAGTAGACATTTTTCAGTGTGGGTGATGTCAAAATTTATATTGTTTGATCACACATAGTTTACACAGGGTTTTGTTTTCATAAGTGAGAGAGGAGAAAATTATAATGAATTTTATTGTGATAAAGCAATTTCAATATTTTGTATGAACGATCACTTGGCACTTAACTAGGAGAGTAGTTGTGTGAGTGAAAAGGGTGCAGATGTGAAAGGTGGAGATCTCTTTCTCCCTCTCTCTTCTTCTCTTTCCTATACCCAGAAACACATGGAAACACACACAAACATATATCTATGTATCTATACATATATACATATATGCTGAATGTTGTAAGGATGGATGGATCAATTGATCCATCCATTCTAAAGCAAAAATTAGCCTCTATTGATCGCCAATCATTTATCTGCTCTTCTGATAGATGCTCTAAGGGGAACAATGAAGAAATGGAAATAGTCCTTAGAATGTAGAAGTCTCTATTCTCACAAGAAAGAAAATTCACTGCAATATACCCACCTGAAGCTGTCTCTGCCACTGTTGAAAACGGAGAGCCCAAGAACCTTGATTCTGTCATAAGCCTGACTGGAGTGGACCTCCTTGAGCTGCTGCAGCTGCCTACACAGTGACACAGGTTTGTTCTAACTATGCTTGGATAAGGACAGGTTTCTTAGTTCATTAAAATCCTTGAGGACGTGGAGGGTTTCACATATATCTTTGTATCTCCAGTGCTCGGCTCAGAACCTGGCACAAAGTAGGAACTTAATAAATGTTTGTTAATTCATTAGTATTGATTGATTCTCTATGCAGGTTTAGAAAAGTGACTTCAAACCAACTTTGGGGCACTGGATTTGATCCTCTGAAAACCACAGGTCTCACATGGGTCCCTGATCAGTCATTGAAAGTCTCATTCAGTGGAAGGTCTGTATTTATAGGGCTAATGATTTTAATATTTCATTAACAATTATTTAAATTAAAAGAGGTTAAAGGAACAGTATCCCACTACTAACACCAATTTCTCTGCTCCATAGACTGAAGCTGAGTGTGAGAATGTTTCTGTTAAGATTAGAAGGACACATTTTCAATAGGATCTGCTAAGTGGGAATGAGGAGGCAATACTCACAAATAACATCAATTTTTACTTTTCCCTAGGTCCCTCTTCCTTTGGTGACAGTTCTTCTCTCCAAGATACCACTGTTATGGAATTTAAAGACATAATCCTGAGTGGAGCATTCTTCTTCCAGACAGGAATTGGGGTCCTAGGGAATTCCTTTCTTATTTGTCTCTTCATCTTTGTGTTTCTCAGTGGACATGGAATGAGGGCTATAGACACTATTGTCACCCAACTGGCCTTGGTCAACTGCTTCGTGCTTCTCTCTAAGGGCATTCCTCAGACACTGGCAGCTTTGGGTCTCATGAATTTCTTGGATGATAATGGCTGTAAAATTATGTTCTACCTTCACAGAGTAGCTCGGGGCCTTTCCCTCAGCATGACTTGCCTCCTGAGTGGCTTTCAGGCCATCACCATCAGCCCCATCAACTCTAATTTTGCAGAGCTTAAAGCCAGAGCCCCAGGATACCTCATTCCCTCCAGTCTCTTCTGTTGGATTTTTCACCTGCTTTTTTCCAGTTATATTCCTGTTGGAATTAAGGGACCAACGCAAAACAGAAACATCACTGAGATACAACATAATGGATATTGTTCTCATGAAATTCCCACTGTATTACAAGCCTCCTTATTTGCAACCATCCTCTCCTTTCCTGATGCTATTTTTTTGGGACTCATGGTGTCTGCCAGTGGCTACATGGTGATTCTCCTGCATAGGCATCACAAGCAAGTCCAGCAAATCCACATTACCTGCCTCTCTCCTCGAGCCTCCCCTGAGACCAAGGCCACCAAAACTATCCTACTCCTAGTGAGCACTTTTGTTTCCTCTTACTTATTCAATTGCATCTTAACAATGTATATGTCTTTTGTAAAGTCCCCACCCTGGTTGATTCATACCTCTGCATTCCTAGCTGCATGTTTCCCAGCTGTTAGCCCCTATCTGCTAATCAGCAGTGACTCACAAACTACCAGGTACTGCCATGCTCTTTGGGGAGGAAACCCCACACTTTGACCCTGATAACAAATTAATATTCTCTGCCCAGGATGATCTCCTGAAAGTTCCAGTGAGAGGAAAAGGATCCCCACATCAAATGAGACCTACATCTGGTGCTAATTGTTAGATTAACCTTTCCTTTCTTAGAAACAATGGGTGGCTTGGGAATATGGATACTAGGGTAAGAGAGTGATCTCAAACTAATGATTCTTAGACCTTTTATTCCTTGAGTCATCCCCAGGATGCTGGAATGTCAACATTGGAAGTTCCTACGACTAGATCAGTACCCCACAGAAATCAAGAAAAAAGGAAAAGATTTTCTACAAACAACAATAATCATTACTGCTATTCTCATGGTAGCCCCAAATTGGAAACTGCTGAGCTGTCTTCTCATTTGGGAGTAGCTAAAGAAATTTTAACGCATCATTGTATTGGAACATTATCGTCTCGTAAAATTGCAAAATGTGCGTTCAGAGAGGAGACTTGGAATCACTCAATGAACTAATGCTGAGGGATGTGAGCAGAAATGGGGAAAGAGTTTATACAGTGATTAAAAGATTAGAGAAAAATCTAGTGTGAGAGACTGAAAACCCTGGTCACAAAGTGATAGTGCGTAAGTCCAGAAGCCTAAAGACGAAACTCGACACTCACTTTCTATCATAGAGGGAATGAATTTAACGTGCAGCTAGATGTTGCAGTGGAGTGAGCACTGGGCTTGATGTCAGGAAGACCCATCTTCCTGAGGTCAAATCTGGCCTCAGACACTTACTAGCCATGTGACCCTGGACAAGTCAGTTTACCCCTATTTCCCTCAGTTCCTCATCTATAAAATGAGGAGAACGAAATGGCAACCCACTCCTATGAAAACCACAAATGGGGTCACAAAGAGTCAGATGTGATTGAAAGGACTGAATAGCAGCAACAGCAGTAGCAAGAAAAATACTAGGTGGCATAGTAGATAGAGCGCCAGACCTGAAGTCAGGAAGACTCATCTTCCTGAGGTCAAATCTGGCCTCAGACACTTACTAGCCAGGTGACCCCGGGCAAGTCACTTAATCTTGTTTGCCTCATTTTCTCATCTGTAAAAGGAGCTGGAGAAGGAAATGACAAACCACTTCAGGTCCTTTGGGGAAAAAATGGGGTCAAAAGGTCAGCCATGATTCAAAGGATTCAAGAATGAAAACAAACATTTAAAAATGGCCAACATGGCGATTTTTTTTTACTAGACAATCATCTATATATTGACACCACCATTTTGAAGTTTTGTATTTAAAAATTAGTATAAGGATATGGGGAAAGAAGGCAGACAGGGAATTTAGGATAAGGTTAAAAGAAAATATATCAATAATTTTTCAAAAGAATGGAGGATTGTAAGAAGCTATCTAGTCCAACATATTGCTAAGCTAAAATATCATTTGAAGCATTGCTCACAGTTTGCCTTCCACACACTGATTGACCAACTTGGTCAGCAAGCAAACAAAATTAGATCTACTCCAGATCTAATTGGTAGAAAAATGCTTCCTTATTTAACCACCAGGTGGCAGCACCAGCTACTCTCAATCCCTTCAATGGGACCTATCTCCATCCTGTCAGTTCTGCACCGTAGCTCACTGAGGGGAAGTCAAGGGACTGCCAAGCTCTCCGATGCTTCTCAGAGAGTGAGTGATCTTCTGTCAATGTCACCTTTCTAAGTGACCACACACACTGCCTCATCAGTCCGGGTGGTGTGGTTTAGGCAGATTAGACCAATCTAAATTAGTTCTCCAATTATCACTCAGTGGCCTCTAGTACACCTCCCTGTATTTGCTTAAGTTCCAGTCAGGTAGATTGATCATAATGAAAGTGATTTCTTAACAAGAAGAGACAGAGCATTAACTGGATAGAAGTGGTTTTAATCTTTATAGAAGCAATAAAAGCTAGTTTTTCTTTTGTTCACTTTTTTGTCAGGTAGAGTGAAAGTGTGGCAATGTTTGACAATGGTATTTGTATTGTATTCTTCATCTGGTTATCTGCATAAAATTAGGTTCTTCGATAGTTTGATGAGCCCCAAGAGAAAAGGTGGAGGAGGAGAGACTACAAGTTCCTATGCCCAAAGGGCAACCAAACTGTGCATGCACTTTGACCCAGCAATACGACTACTAGGTGTGTAACCCAAAGAGATCATGAAAAGGCGAAGGACCCCATGTACAAAGATATTTATAGCAGCTCTTTTGTAGAGGCAAAGAATTAAAAATTGAGGGGATGCCCATCAAGTGGGGAATGGCTGAACAAGTCATGGTACATGAATGTAATGGAATACTATTGTACTATAAGAAATGATGAGCAGGATGCTCTCAGAAAAACCTGGAAAGACTTGCATGGGCTGATGCAAAGTGAAATGTACTGGGTACAAAGTAACAGCAATGTTGTAAGATGATCAACTGTGAATGACTTAGTTATTCTCAGCGATACAACAATCCAAGACAACTCAGAAAGACTTATGATAAAATGCTACATGTCCCCAGACAAAGAGCTGATGGTGTCTGAATACAGATTACAGCATACTTTTGTTTTACATTCTGTATTCTTCTTGAGGTTTTTTGTCTATGTTTTCTTTCACAACACGTCTATTATAGATATGTTGTGCATGACTACACATGTAAAAACTATACCAAATTTCTTGCCTTCTCAATGGGGGGGTTGTGGGGGGGAGGAAGGGAGAGAATTTGGAACTCGTAGTTTTAATAATGAATGTTAAAAATTAATTACATGGAACTGGAGGAAAACCAAAAATTAAATAAAAATAAATACATTTTAAAAGTGAGGCTTTCTTGAGCTGTTATGTTCTGCCTTGTAAGTTGCTGTGAGCAACTGGGAAAGCAAATTGCTTAATAGAAAGTTAAATTCATCACTCACTTTATGTTAATTACCCAAAGCAATAAATTAAAATTTTTTTTTAAGTAGCTAATGCCTCTTGGAATTTCTTTTAAATAACAATTCTATTTTTAAAAAGAATGTTAAAATTTGTCTTTACATATAATTGGAAAAATAAAATGCTATTAAAAATTTGGATGCTGTAGCATTTGGTGCACATAGGTTTAGTATTGGTATTATTTTATTATCCATGGTGTCTTTTGTCATAATGTAGTTTCTCCGTTTATCTTTTTTGATTAAATCTATTTTAGCTTGAACTTTGTCTGAGATCATAATTACTACCTCTGCTTTTTTTTTTGCATCAGTTAAAACACAATGAATTCTACTCCAGTCCTTTATTTTTATTCTGTGTATCTCTCACTTTTAAATGTGTTTCTTCTAAACAACATATTGTCAGATTCTAGTTTTTAGTCCATTCTGCTATCCTTTTCCTTTTTATGGGTGAGGTCATTTCATTCACATTCAAAGTTATAATTAGTAGTTTACATTTCCCTCTATCCTATTTTTCCTCATGGTTTATCCCTTTCTCCATCTCTTTTTACTCTATCTCTCCTCAGATATCTAATTTACTTCTAAGTCCTGCCTCCCTAATCCACACCCCTTCTAAGAATCCCTCCCTTATCCTCTCCCCTTACCCTCCTATTCCTTAATCCACTGACCTTTCTAGGTATCCTTCCTTATTATCCCTCCTTTATTGTCTCCTCTTACCCTCCATTTTCATGATCTGCACACCCTTCTAAAAGGCTCTCCCTTATCCTGTCCCTTCACCCTTCTATTTCTCTAGAGTAAAGAAGACTTTTATACCTTTCTAGGTGTGTTATTCCCTCTTTAACCCAATTCTGACTGAGAATAATGTTCTGGGACCATCAGTCCTCCACCCTCTGCTGTCCCCACTGTAATCGTTCTTCCAGTCATGCCTCTTTTGTATGAGATAGTTGCTCCATTTTACCTCTCCCTACCCAATTTTATTTTTTAAGATTATGCCATCACACTAAATTCAACCCCATGCTTTCTATCTATGTACATTCTTTCAAACCACCCAGGTAATGAAAACATTCTTAAGAATTACAAATAATATTTTCCCTATAGGAAGTATAGATTTTGACCTTATTATTGTTTACCTTCTTATGTTTCTCCTGAGTCTAGTTGGTCAAGTTTTCCACTCAGTTCTGGTCTTTTCTTCACAAATATCTAAAAGTTCTTTAGTTCATTAAATATCCTTTTTTTTCCCATTCAGGACAACACATGACTTTGCCAGGTAAGTTATTCATGCTTGCAAGCCCAGCTCCTTTACTCTTTGTAATAGATTGTTCTATTCCCTTCAGTCTTTTCATCTAGAAACTGCTAAATCTTGTTTTATCCTGCCTGTAGCTCCACAGTATTAAAAAAAATTTTTTTCTAGTTGCTTATAATATCTTCTCCTTGATTGGAGAGTTTCAAAACTTAGTTGTGATGTTTCTATGAGTTTTCATCTTGAGGTCTCTTTCAGGTGGTGATCAGTGGATTTTTTCTCTTTTTATTTTATCCTCTCATTATAAAACTTTAGAAAAAATTCTATTAATAATCTCTTGAAATATAGTGTCTAGACTAAATGCACATCTCATGGATTGACTTTTGCTTTCACTTGAACACTTAAAAATAGTTATAGGGTTATCAATTGGCCTCATTTCAATATTGCTGTGTCTCAAGAAAGAGAAGAAACCCAAGAAAAGGGTGAGAGATGGGGAACTTCAAGGGTGATGTGGCCGTAAGAGTTCAGGGAGCTTCTCAGTTATTAAGGCATCTGCAGCATAGTGGTGAAGGCCAGAGAGTGAGAATCACAGACAAGAAACAAATGAAAAGTGGCTGGCTTGAGCTTATTTCAAAAGGGATGTTTGGGGAGGAACTCATGAATGAGACCATCCACAAAATGGGAACATCTACAATGTTGGGAACATCTGCAAAAACCAGAAAAGGAAAGCTAGCAAGATGCTTTGATGTAAATGGAGGACTACATGAAGGAGAATAATATGAAATAAGATGCTAAAGGGAGTTTAGAGACTGACTTTAGAGATAGAGGGACTAAAGAAAGATAAATAAATTTTATTCAACAGACAATATGAAGGCCTTGAAGATTTTTGAGCAGGGAGTGAAGTGATCAGATCAGTGCATTAAAGATATAAACTGGGCTGTTTCTATGGAGAAGAGATCAGAGAGGGAAGAGATGAGAAGCATGGAGTTCTAATGGAAAGTTTTGCAATGTTACCCACACCAAGACAGATAGGTGATGGATGAAGGATGCAGAAGGAGACATATTTTTGACATGGTGAATCTGGGGATTTTGTTTAGCTTGACTCTGTATATTTGGCCAAATGATTTTGTTATCATTTTT